TTGGCTGAATTTTGCTTTGTTTTTTTTAGATTTTATTTATTTATTAAAATAGAAAACATAACAATTTAGATTGACCATTACTTTATTTTTTATTTTTGTTACGTGCAGTCCTATGATGAAGCCTTTTCTTTCTAACGTCGGGTTGTTGTTTTTATTATTTGTTAATATAATTATTGTGTTTAACATTGCTCCCAATAAAGTCATTATACGTTTTGTGTCACAACAGGGGAGAAACAAAACCACATTTTTGTGTTTGATGAAACTCTTGAAAAAAAAAATTGTCAAATAGAATTCTAATTGCTACCGATTTATGGCATAAGATTATAGTTCGCAGACTTCATGTATCCTCACAATAAAATCATCATACGCTTACTTTACAAATTGTAACTTGGTTTTATGTATATGGATGCTTGATTCTTTCACTCTGTTATGTCTATGGATGCTTGATTCTTTCACTCTGGTTTTATGAGCCAGATCTAAAACGTTCACGATTTTTTAGCCCGTTTAATTTTCGACAATCTGTATTTTTGCCTCGAATTTTTTAATTAATACCATTTTTTTTTGTTTTCTTATATGATTATTCTCTGATTTGCTAATTATCGCTAGAAAATTCAAAACTTGCAGTGTCAGTGAAATCTCCCCAATTTATTTATTTAAAAATCAAATATCCAACATAGGCCTACCCGAGTCAAAACCAATTGACCCAAAACATTTTAAAGTCCCAAACAATTTTCAAAATAGCAGGCTCTCTTTATTTATCTTTGCCGTCTTCTTCTTCCTCTCTCTCTTTGCATTTATAAGGCATAGTATTCATTAGTTACTGACTCCGTAACACTACCATGTGTCTTTGAGCTCTCTGTGCGCATCTCACGCCCTAAAACATGGTCTCATACAGAGTACGAAGCTCCACAAATACTTATGTGTCTCCTTCTTATTCTACTTATTGTGTTTTAGATAGCTGATAAATAGAGGCCTTTACGTCATTAAAGAAGCACTAAAGCTGTCATCTATGGTGATAAAAAAACTCTCCCATTTCTAGCTCTATTCAGGCTTTGAGCTTCGAGATATCGGATTTTTTAAGGGTTTTGCTTGCCATGATTGTTTGTGCTTGTCAAACTTTGGTTTTTCTCTTTTGAAAATGAGGACGATTTACAATTTTTTCAGATAGACCCAATTCGTGTTAGGGTTTCTGTTAGAGGTTTTGAAGATGGAGCAGGTGGGGGGGGGGTCAAACGAATGGGTGGAAGTGGAATAATTGATGGATGTGATCCATTGGTGGGGGGAAACAATGGTGAGATTGCCAATGGTGGTGCAATTAGAGAGAGAGTGGAGGTTATAAGAGAGAGTAACACTCGTTCTTAGGCTTCAACTAGTAAGAAATAATGAAGGTTGTAGTAATCTCCACCAGTTAGATAACTAGTTGACCGGTTAGACATAAAAAAAGTGTTTTATATATATGAAAAGTATATTTAAAGTATTTTTAAACAAAGCACATCCAAATGAAAATGAAGTTAGACAATTACTGAAAAAAGATTGTAAAATATCAATTTATGTTCAAATGTATTTTTGAAATTTTTCAAAAAGATAGGAAAAAAAATATAAAAATAAATATTAATGGCTAAAACACATTCCAATCTTTGTCAAAATGATAAGAAACATTCAAAACCACATTACAAACAAATCCATTTTCTATAATTTTTTTGAATTTTTTTAAACATCTAGTCGGATCACTGAAACCGGCCAATAATCGGTTTTGATCTAACCGAGCGATTACAATTTGAACCGTCTAATTTTCCAAACACCGGTGAAGAGTGATAAAGCCATTAGAGTTGTCAAACTCACACCGGTGAAGGGTGATAAAGCGATTAGAGTTATCAAACTCTTACTGGCTCATGACTTAGGCCTCATCCATCACCTTATGCTTTGATTGAGGAGCTCTATAAAACCGATAAGTTGGAATTGACAATGAATATCGTAGAAGGTGCAGGTTCCTTGGTTTTCCCCATGAATCTGTTACTTATGACATGGTAATTAAAATACTCTGTGATAATGACCAAATAGATGAATCATTACATGTTCTTAATCAGGTAGCAGAGAAAAAATTTTGCCCTGCTGAGCCTTTAAACTTGTAAAATTTTGGGGGAAAAAGAGGTTTAGGGGAGAGAGGGCATGGTGGTGAGAGAGAGAGGTGGAGCTAGAAAACCAGAGTATGAGAGAGAGGAAGAGGAACAATATGACAACAAAGAGAGTGAAAGAGGGTCCGATATTTTGAAAATTGCTTGGGACATAACAATTTCATAAAATAGAGATTGGGTTTAAGGGGTTGCCATTTTTATTTTTTTTTTAAACCTCGCCCTTTTTAAAAGGTGGGGTTTGAATAAGGTTTCAGTTTATATTATAGAAGTAAGTTACACCTCAAAAATATATAGTTTCAATGCTGGAGAGTTTTGCAATGATATGAAAATCTATTGTTGCCTGGTGACAATCAAGTAGATTATAAATGTTTGAAATCTTGAAAATAGATAATCCAGATAATATGTTAGAAGAATAACTATTTTTAAGACTACAAATCATTTTTTTCATGTTTATGAATCTTGATGGTTGATTTGAGAGTTTTCTATCATGAGAAAAACCTTCTCTAGTAAGTTTTTTAGGTGTACCTTAAGTCTAAGTTAATACTTCATATAAACTTTTTTTTCTTTTAAAAATCTAGAGAAATTTACAGGCAGGCCATATTGGAGGGGGAATTTCAAAATGGGAACACATTTGTTTTAATTTATGGGTGGCACCCCATCCCAGTTTTTTTTGTCCCAAGTTAAACCGAACATTGGATAGGTGGGTTTTTTTTGCCTTTAAATGAAAGTCCCAAGTTAAACCGAACAGTAGATAGGCAAAAAAAAAAAACTATTTTTAGGACTACAAATCATTACAGCTATTTAAGTTTTTCTTGTTTTTTTTTTTTTCTAAGAATTTCTTCAGGCATCTCCCTTCTGCCTGCAACCCTCTCTCTCTCTTCAATATTTTCTCCCTCTAACTCAAGAACCCCTCTCTTGCGAACGGGGAATCTCTTCCTTCTCGCTCTTTAAGTCCCCTACGTTCTCTCTCTCTAAGGTCTAGATTTTGCTGCAATTTATTTGTTGTGGTCGATTAGGGGTTGGATAGTAGTGGATAATTCAAAGGTTTAGGTTTAGTGTTTCAAGGTGGTTTCATGGAGAAAGATTCGGCTTGAGGGCACATTAACCCTCTTTTGAAACCTTCGCTTTCTTCTCTCCTTCCTCTCTCTCTAATGTAAAACCAAAAAGTAATAATATTATTGTCCAAAAGACCAAAAAAACTATGTGAAAATTTTAGAAGCCAACAAGGCTTTTTTTTCTTCCACTAGAAGAGTCCAAAAGAGGCGGTTTGAGCAGATTCAACATAAGGTGCACATCTTGTGTTCCAATTGACCTCTTTGTTTCTTCATAGAGGAGCTTGATGATGGTTTTAGGGTTTGGGGTTTTTCGATGAAGACACTAGGAATAAGTTGCTCAATTCCGAGAAAGTGGTTCGTGGGTCGGGCAATGTCAATACTTGACTAGGTCGAGGTCGATTATGTACCTTGCGTTGTTGTCAATGGAAGAGATGACATCGATCTATTCATAGCCGCCGGCCAACAGGTTGCCCGATCTTTCCCATCTCGATATGCAAATTTTAAATCTTAGAGAGAGAGAGGGGCAGAATAGCAATTGAGAGAGATGTGACGAAGGATGGGTGTTGATTGTTAGAGAGAGTAAATATTGAAGAGAGAGAGAGAGGGAGGGTAGCAAGCAGAAAGGAGGTGCCAAAAGATATTTCAGATAAAAAAAAAAACTTAAAGAGCTGTCTAGTAATTGAAACACCGGACAATTGTTTTTCGTTTTAACGAAAAAAACTCACATGTCTAATGTTCAGTTTACTAGACAGGGGAGTAACTTGAAAAAAAAAAAAAAGCTTGGAGTAGGGGTGTCGCCTCGCCCATAAATTAAGATAAACGTGTTCCAAAAAATCTAAGCCCAAATATGTTTTAAGTCTATTAGAAAGAAAAATGTCTCATGCGGGCTGACCGCATTTCTACATATGCGGTCCAGAGAGTATAAATCATCCATCTTAAAGATAGATGCAAATAGGTGTAAAAACAATGCAAACTAACGGTTTACATTTTTTTATTAAAATTATTATTTTTAATTTTATTTATTTTTCATATTCCTGATCTCCATGTTAGAGATTATATGTCCTTAAAAATTAAGTCTTAAAATCCATCTCAAAGATAGATTTATAAGAGGCCCGCATTTTTACATATACCTTGGTTTGGCGCATAGAAACTTTGGCCCTATTAGAAATAGGTGTGGTTTGTATAGAGCCTAGGCTCTAAACAATCAATTTAGAGCCTACCTTCAACTAGTGTCGAGAAACGTGGTTTTAATATTGGAAATACCTGTGATGGCCTTAAAATATATTCTTATATTTATTTTTAAAGTTTAAAGCTTAAAAAATAGTGTACATCGACATATTTATGAAAACTTAAAAATTTAGAAAATTAACGATAAAAAGATGCATTACAAAATACAATATTTTCAAAACTTGAAATCCATTTTTTCACATGTCCATGATTATTGATGTCAAGTTAATCAATTTGAATATATTTGAATATCAAAACAGCTTATTGTGGTAAAATTTGTGAGGTAGCATCAAATTTGATTGTTCAGAGCATTCGCTCTATATAAACTTTTCCCATTAGGAATAGTAGACGAAATTAGGGTGTACGGAAAGATTTTTCTATTTTTATTGAATCGCAAGGGAAAAATTGTCCGACGTGCGAAAAAAAGCGGGAAAGCCGCGGTCGTAAAAAAACCCGCCAAAAGACGCTGAACCAGCGATATAGAAAAAGTGAGGGGGGAGAGAAACGGAGGAGAGAGAGAGAGATTGGAGAGAGACATACTGAACCTGAGACAGGTATAGAGAGAGAAAGTGAGGGGGGAGAAACGAGATAGTGATAGAAAGAGAAAGCCGGGAGAGAGAGACGGAGAGAAATTCAGGAGAGAGAGAGAGACAGAGAGTCATGAAGAAACTTTAATCCAGAGAGATGGAGGGAGAGGGTTAAGCCGGAACCCTGACCCTAACACTATGGGGAAGCAGAAGCAGCAGGTCATTTCTCGCTTCTTCGCACCAAAAGAAGCCCTAACCTCAACCCCACCTTCAAAAAAGCTCAAATCCTGTTCCTCTTCTCCAAGCCCTGGAAATGCAGAGAAAACCCTAATTTCCGCAAAAACCGTAGCCAATTCATCAAAACCTATAGTTTCCTCCAAAGCCATAGCCACGCCTCCAAAAACCCTAATTTCACCTGCAAAATCAGACTCAAAATCTTCTCTACCTGCGTTCAATCCATCTCTTCATCGCAAATTCCTTGAGAAACTCCTTAATCCACCGTCTTCAAATCGTACCTTGTCCAACCATAAATTGGCTTCAAATGACCAGAAATTCACCCCATTAGAGCAACAGGTGCTTTCACTGAAATCACAGTACCCAGATGTCTTGTTAATGGTTGAAGTGGGGTATAAATTTAGGTTTTTTGGGGAAGATGCAGAGACGGCAGCTAGGGCTTTGGGTATATATTGTCACCAAGATCATAATTTCATGACTGCAAGCATTCCTTCCTTTAGGCTCCATGTTCATGTACGTAGGCTCGTGGGTTTAGGCTTTAAGGTTGGGGTGGTTAAGCAAACAGAGACAGCTGCTATAAAAGCTCACGGGTCGAACAAAGTTGGGCCCTTTTCAAGGGGCCTCTCTGCCTTGTATACAAAGGCCACTATAGAGGCAGCTGGTGATTTAGGGGGAGAACTGGGTGATGCTTGTTATAATTCGAGCAATTATGTTATGTGCGTTGTTGAGAAGAGTGAATTGGGGTTTGTAGAAGAAGGTTTTGATACTAGAATCGGCATTTTAGCAGTGGAGATTTCGACTGGTGATGTGATTTTTGGGGAATTTAAAGATGGGGTTATGAGGGCTCAGCTTGAAGCTGTGCTTTTAAGTGTTGGCCCGGCGGAATTGCTTTTGGGTTCTCCCCTTTCAGCCCAGACGGAGAAGGTAATCTATATCTGTGCAACTGCTTGCGTGTTTATTTCTTTTATTTTTTTTGGTTTCAGGCAAAAATTATGCATTATTATTTGGGCTTGTTTTTATTTCATTTTTGTACTCACAGATAAGGTGAGCTACATCTGTTTAAGTGATTGTATAATTCATGTTTTTTTGTTTTGGGCAAAAACTATGAATTATTTTTGCGCATGTTTTGATTTCATTTTCCTTGGTAAATTATGCATGCTTTGTTTCTGAATGTGATTGTGATTCTTAATGGAGATTATTAACGAAAGAATTTCATTAACTGCTGTCTTACCTCAGCAATTGACCTTAAAAAGGGTACCAAATAGATTGCATTGGTGATAATGTATTGGTTTACTAAAATTATGATCAGTTTTGCATTTATTGTATTTAGGGCCTGTTTGAATGACAATTAATTTTATCTGGAATATATCATTTTATCTGAAATTATTGTACTCTGGATGATGTTATTTTGTTGGTTATTTGATATATATGTTATATTATGTATAATGTTGCTTAATGTTACTTAAATATTTAAGTTTTCAGTGATTTCCAGCATAATGTTACTTAAATATTTAACTTTTTAGTGATTTCCAGCTATTTCTGGGCAAGAACATGTAATGTTCAGCAAATTACTCTGAAATAAAGTAAGAATGACTTTTCAAAAGGTAAACTTCTATGTAAACTGCCTATAAATTTATCTAAGACAATTTATGATGAGCGCAACCAAACAACATATAACTCGTTATAAGGATTAACTTTATTGAAACAATGGATTATAAGTGATAACGAGTCCATCCGAACAGGCCCGTAGTGTATATTATTGTTTGCCTAGGGCACTCTATATTGGGTTTGTCATTTATGAAAACATTAGTTCTGAAAAATTGTCTCATACGAACTTATAAACTATATTTGAGCTCAAGCCCTTCTTTCTTCCCTTTTTAACTTAATGCTACTAATTTATCCATTTATGTTTTGCCTCTGGAATTCTAGAGAGTGGTGGACATGACCTCCCTATACATATGTCAATGCAAATAAAATACAGTGCAATTTGGACAGTATCCCCAAAGTGTTACGATAGTCTTTTTTTTTTTCTTGACAAGGTTACATAGGAATGGAACTTGAGACGTAGTGCTATAAAAAACCAGCTTCTACCGCCTTGACCAAGTCGGATTCCCTAAGTGTTAGGATAGTCTTAATCTTTTTAATTTTTAGTTTTTGATAATGAGGTAATTAACCTTTTTGTTTTTTATATGTTGTTTAATGAGTGTTGCTAAAGTTTGTCAAGGTAGACAGGCTGCTTTTTCTTTTTTTTTTTCGAACTTGGAGATAAATCCCCATATAAGATCTATGTTAAAAGAAAGGATCCATTTTTATGCAAAGTCCCACTTTTTTGTCATTTTTTTATCCCCAAATTACCCCTTGTTCGAATGCCGGATGTTAGAACTGTGGTCTTTTTCTAGGAAATGTATACAATAAGACCATTTGCTTTTGATATAAGGAGGTAAAATTCATTATTGACTGTTAGATGTAAAATTAGGTAGTTGGATATGTGTCATTGACTGGGCACAAAGTCCAAAATAAAATTTCTCGAATATTGTGACACTTGAACTTGTCGGATTGCACATCTATGGGCTAAGAGTGATTGAGGCCGCCTTGTACGAAAAGTGCATTTCTTATAATGTACAATCCCTTTTTTTAAGTGGGAGGCTGGTTTGCAAATCCAATGTTCGGACTCACTCATTTAAGATTTTTTTTGTAAGTGAGAGACATGTGTGGACGTTGGATGTCCGAACCATCTCCCACTTGAAAAATATAGGTGGGTGGGTTCGGACCTGCCTCCCACTTAAAGAAAAGGATCCCAATTCAGACATCCAATGTCCTAATTGGGGGTAATTTGAAGGTATAAAAAATGACAAAAGGTGGTGCCTTTGCGTAATATGTAAAATATTTGTTCCTTTTCTAAAAATATAGATCTTATAAGGGGATTTATGTTTATATTTCCTTTTTTAAAATTTAAATCGGTACCTAAGTTTTAGAATTTAATCTCCATATTGATGGACTATGGCATTCAATGCAGCAAAATCTAATATACTACTTACACAAAATGGAATAACTTAAATTTTTCCTTTTTGTTAAGATTTTATTATTATTCCTATTCTAATTTTTAGAATCCATTTTTTTCTATTTTTTCATTTTCTAATATCAAATATTTATGGATGGCTTAAGCTTGGGCATACTCTAATCAGTTTCTGTTTTCCTGAATAACTTTGAACTTGCCTTTTCTAGATACTTTTGGGATATGCTGGTCCCACATCTAATGTTCGGGTTGAGCGTGCTTCACGAGAATGCTTTAATGATGGAGGGGCCCTTGCTGAAGTGATGTCTTTATATGAAAAATTGGTGGAAGATGGTTCGACTGTGAAGCAGTGTGAGCAGAAGGAAGATATCAAGCCGAATGAAAAACTTTCTCTTGGAGTGGAGGTATTGTGATAAAAGATCATCATATTTGGATTTAATGAATTTGTTACTCTTGATTAATCATTACTTCTTAAAAAGTTACTCTTTATTCATTGCATGTTTTGATAGTCATCCCCCTGTTTATATGGCTTGTATATTTGAATTTGGGAAGCTTCTCTTGGTGGCAGACTCTTTTTTTTTTTTCCCTTTTTCAACTTTAGTCAGCACATCCATTGCTTCTAATTATTCTTGTGGTGGTCTGAGTCACGTTTCAAATGAAAAGCCTTTTTGTGGCAGTACTTCAATTTGTCTGATTTGAATTTGAAATTGCTGTAAGTTCTTGCAACTCTCGACATTAAGCCACACAAATGTGTCCTATTGATTGTTAGAAACAGATGACCTGCATATGATACATGCTGAATTGCCCTGTTTTTCTGGACCAGTCTCCTTTCAGAGGTGATAAATTATGGTCGCTTTGGGATGTAGAAATTTTATTCAGTTATTTCCAAATAGCCTTTCATTGAGTTTGATATTGGATGTAGTTAGTGTCACAGAAAAGGAGAGATTGGTATCTAGAAAGAACATGTTGATTAGAAATGGTTCAGTTGCCAGTACTGCTTTGTTCACCCAGTAATTTTTTTCCAAAGCACAAATTGATATTTTTTTGCTCCGTATTTCTGTTTATACCTGCCCGAGAAATCTGATTTGCTTAAAAGGTTTTGAACCTTGATATTCTACCTTTCAACTTGATTTGGAATTGACTATTTTCACCTGGATATTTTGATGACTGACCGATTCCGCAGGTTATTTCTTCATTAAGTTGTTTCATTTACATAAAATATGTAACTGTGTTTCTTTTTACAGGGAATCATGGCGATGCCAGAACTGCCTGTCCAAGCACTTGCGTTAGTTCTTCGCTACCTTAAGCAATTTGAATTGGAGAGAATATTGTGTTTAGCGACATTTCGACCATTATCTAGCAGCATTGAGATGACTCTTTCATCAAATATTCTTCAGCAGCTGGAGGTGCTTTATCCTGTCAAATTACAAATTTTAATTTTGATATTGGTTTTGTCAGGTCACTTATTCTAGTAATGGGTAGCAGCATTGAGATGACTCTTTCATCAAATCCTTGTAAGAGAGTAGGATTCGTTTAGCCATATGGAACGTAGGAACGCTTACTGGTAAGAGTATGGAGTTGGTGGATACAATAAGACGAAGGAGAATAAACATAGCTTGTCTACAGTAAACTATATGGAAAGGAGAAAAAGCTAAAGAAATAAATAGGTATAAATTATGGTATATATGAAAGAATAATAATAGAAATAGCGTAGGCATAATAGTAGATAAAGATTTAAAAGATAAAGTAGTTAATGTCAAAAGAATAAGTGATAAGCTCTTAGTAACTAAACTTATATTAGGAGAAGAGATAATTAATGTAATTAGCGCTTACGTACCACAAGTAAGATTAGATGATAGAATTAAGAGATAATTTTGGGAGGACATAGATGGAGTAGTCCAAGACATATCAAATGGAGAGAGGATTTTTTCAGGAGGGGACCTAAAAGAAGTTTAGGGTGAAGGGAAAAGACATCCACATGATCTTTATTGATCTAGAGAAAACTTATGATAGAGTACCTCGAGATTTGATTTGGCGGGTGTCGGAAAAAAAAGGCATCTCTAAACACTACATCGACTTGGTGAGAGATATGTACGATGTAGTGCTAACTACTGTACGAACAACTAGTGGAGAGACAAGTGAGTTTTCAATGACAATAGTTCTACATCAAGGGTCAGCATTGAGCCAGTATCTCTGTCTTAGTTATGGATGACTTAACTAGGCACCTACATGATGAGGTATTGTGGTGCATGTTGTTCACAGATGATATAGTTTTGATTGATGAGGCCTGAAACGGTGTCAACACAAAGTTAGAACTTTGAAAGGATGCTCTAGAATTAAATGTTTAAAAATTAGTCGGACTAAGACAATATATAGAGTACAAGTTTAGTAATAATAGGAGTAGAGACGAGGAAGTACTTAAGATTGATGACCAGGAAGTACAAAAAAGATCATATTGTCAATATCTTGGGTCGATAATCCAGGTAAATGGAGAGATCGAGGAAGATGTTACACACAAAATTAGAGCTGGGTGGGCAAAGTGGAGATGTGCAACTAGAATTTTTTGTGATTGCTTCATACCAATGAGGCTAAAGGCCAAGTCCTATAGGACAACGGTGAGACCAGCTTTGCTCTATGGGGCGATGGGCGGACAAAAACAATATACCATAAAATGATTGTAGCGGAGATGAGGATGTTGAGATGGATGAGTGGCAAGATAAGAAGGAATAGAATTCGAAATGAATCTATTCTAGAGAATTTAGGCTTAGCATCAATAGGTGATAAAATGAAAGAGAGTAGACTTAGGTGGGCTGGCCATGTGTGGCACCGACTAAGTACAACACCTATTAGGATGTGCGAGTTAGTTCAAGTGGAAGGACTGAAAAGGGCATGGGGTGGGCCCAAAATGATGTGGTTGGAAGTAATCCGAAAAGATATGAGGATTTATGCCCTCATTGAAGATATGCCCTTTAATAGAGCAGAATGGAGAACCAGGATTTATGTAGGAAAAGGCTAAAATGATGATAATGATGAATTTCGATATTGGTTTTGTCAGGCTTCCTTTTTTTAGTAATGGGTGATCTATTTCAGATTACTTCTTAAGCATAGCCAAGCGATTGAATATTTGTATGTTCACATCCCCATAATGTTTTGCTTCCTAATTGATTCTGTCGTAGTAAATTGTCGTATGAAATCATTTGGTGGGTAATACACTTTAATGGCTAGGTACCTTAGCGGTTTCACTTCAATGAGTATCTTTAGAAAACTAAATATGGTTTAACGTGAGAGTAGTGCTTTCAATTTATTTGATTGTATTGTCTAGGTCTAATTGCACTGGGACAACAAAAAAAAAGATAGAAAGAGCTTCATGCTCTCT